TGGATGCCAGGATTGAACTCAGGTCACCAGGCCTGTGTGAGGTGTGTTGACCCATTGAACCATCTCTGTGGCCATATTTATAAATTTGAAACAAGGTCTTAACTAGCCCAGGTTTGCATTAAATGCTTCTCTGCCTCCCAAACACTACCGATGATTGTGAGCTGCCTGACATGGGTACTGCATATATACACCCTAAACCACTGAGCCATCTTTCCAGCGTGGGAAAGAACATTTTAAAATGCCTTCCCTAGCCAACTTTTTTACTTTTAAGTAATGTACGTTGAGTATTTAAACTACAAAGTCTAAAAACAGAATTTAATATGTACTTTAATTTTTAAGTGTGATTTGGCAGTATTTTTAAGAACTTTACATTAAAATACCTTCTTTCTAAGATTAAAATCAGGCCGGGTGGTGGTTGTGCATGCTTTTAATCAGTGCCAGCAGCCAGGCAGGTGGATCTGTGAGTTTGAGATTGCCTGGTCTGCATACAGAGTAAATTCCAAGACAGCCAGGATTACACAGAGAAACTGTCTCGAAAACAAAACAAAAACAAACAAACCAAAAGGTTAAAATTAGGTTGTCATGTTGAGACACAGTTGGCCTTTAAGTTTAACTATAATTAAAGTATGGGTGTGTAAGTGTGGATTTGTTTGCTGCTTATGATGCAGAAACTGGATGAAGAGCAGCTGTTTAAACCTAACAGTAACCCAGTAACTGACATCTCCACTGTGAACATGTGGTTTTTGTTGAGGTTTTTTTAACTGTTATTTTTATAAAATAAGAACAATGTAAAACAACTCTCCTGAAGTTACTGTATGTATTAAATGGTCCTATAATAATCGTGGGTAAATATATTTAAAAGATGTCTTTGTCATATTTGCTTTCTTTTCAAAGTAGGTCAGACTAAAGTTTTGACTTCTCCTTGTAGCAGAAGCCCTTACAGTGTTGGGTGGGCTCCTTAGTAACTGATTTCAGTTGCTTAAATGTTTAGCATTATATTTGTGAGCAATCTGGGAGAGCCATGATGTGGCTATTTGTTAGATTTTTTTTTAAGACTAACTAAACTTAAATCTCAGTGCAAAGTATCTATACCATTAAATAGTATTGAGAAGCTAGTTTCTAGCTATCTCAGTGTCAATTTCTGTCATAAAATTTGATTTTGAGTGCTATTTATCTATTGTATCAGAATTACTTGGCTGCATTAAATTATATAGAACTATTTTAAGTTGGGCGTTGGCGAATGCCTTTAATCCCAACACTGAGTGGGGCAGAGGCAGGTGGATCTCTGGGTTCAAGGATAGCCTGGCCTACAGAGTGAGTTCCAGGATAGCCAAGGCTACCCAGAGAAACCCTGTGTCCGAGAGAGAGAGAGAGAGAGAGAGAGAGAGAGAGAGAGAGAGAGA